GGAGGAGGAGCAGGGGGAGGAGGAGCAGGAGGAGGAGGAGCAGTAGGAGGAGGAGCAGGGAGAGGAGGAGCAGGGGGAGAGGAGGAGGAGGATCAGGAGGAGGAGCAGTGGGAGGAGGAGCAGGAGGAGGAGGAGCAGGGGGAGAGGAGGAGGAGGAGCAGGAGGAGGAGCAGGAGGAAGAACAGGAGGAGGAGGGAGAGGGGGAGTGAGGAAAGGTGAAGCTGAGGGAGAAGAGGAGGAGCGATTGGGAGGAGACACTGCAGAGTGGGAGAGCAGCATACTCAGAGAGAAGGGCCCCTGAGGAAGAAGAGGCAGAGGAAGCCAAGCAGGAAGGAGCCCAGGGAGGAGGGGGGACTGGCGTGTGAGTCAGAGACACAGGAAGCCAGGGGAGGACAGTAATGAGTGGCAGGAGGACAAGCAGGGGTACTTGGAAAGACCACAGCAGAGAAAGGTTGGGTACCGGAGGAGGCACAGACAAAAGCGAAGGGGAATGAGAGTGGGCAAGGAGAGGGCAGAGGACTCCCGAGGAGTGGACAGAGAGGTGTTTGGAGAGACCCCGGGGAAGAGAAGGGGAGGAAGGGTGTGGGGAACAGCAGCAGGTGAACCCAAGCCCATGGGCTTTCCTCCCCGTGGCCTTGGGAGCCGGCCCCAGGGGCCTGCGGACAGTTCAGGGGCCACCTGAGCCTCATTAGCGATGGCTGATTAGGYTCTCTGTGGGTGCGAGGGATTGTCCTAAGGCACCCACCGTGGGGAGTCTGGTGACTGCTCCTCCAGTCCCTGTGTGGCCAGCTTCTCCCAGGAACCAGGTTGAGGTCTTTAACTGGTCTGTTGAGGCCAGCTGGGATCATGCTCCATCGCCCGGCCTCTGACACGCTGCCTGCCCTGCGCTTGGGAAGCCTCGTCTGCCGTGATGTGACTCTGAAGCCCCGAGGCTGCCCAGCCCTCTAAGGAGGGAGGCGTTTCTGTGAGTAGGTGAGTCTGAATTCTGGGAAGACCCCGGGCGGGGGCAGTAAGATGTGCCGAGATCCAGGGATCTCACGGTGAAAAACCGTCTGGGGGCAGTTTTTCTGGGGACCAGTTCCCCTTCTCAGAGGCCTTCATGGCCCGTGGGCACTGGCTGCTTCCTTGGCCAGCTCTGCAGCGTGACCTCCCTGCTGGGACTTCAGCGGCTATAACTGCTGATGGCACTGGGCACCCTCAAGTCTCAGGTCCAGTGGTGCGTGCCCGAGCTCCAGACCTATGTGTCCAGCTGCCTGCTGGACATGCTGCTTGTGGGTCCCACAGGCTCTGCAGAAAGGAGTAAGCCCGACACCAGGGTCCCTTCCTCTGGACCAGTGTTTTGTAGACAAGGGACTGAACGCAGGTTCGTGAATTCCCAGAATCGTCCACACAACTGTGCCCGTAGCACATGCGAGCCAGAATGTGTTGCCTCTGACCGCCACTTTCCAAAGCCACCCCATCCCTGCCTGGGCCTCCCCGTGGCCTCCCTGTCCCTGCTTGGCCTGGCCCCTCTGGCCCTTCCTCCTCACCCACACCTCCTTTCCTTCACCCACCGTGCCCAGCCACTGGCCTCCCTGACCAACCAGGCTGGATCCTGCCCCATGCCTTGGCCTTGCCACCCTGCTGCCTGCAGTGCCCTCTCCCCAGCTCTCCTCCTCACCTGCTCACGGTGGGCGACTCTGCGTCACTCACGGCTCCTTCACAGTCACTCTGCAGAGCTGGGGCTATTTCACTCTGAGCTGGCTGGTTGGTCTGTCTCCCGGACTCCTGTTGATGTCCCTGGAGAGGAGGCAGGACCTTCCAGCCTCTGGTGAGCCCTGAGGGGAGGCAGGACCCTCAGCCTCTGGTGACCCGGGCCYAGCTCAGTTCCTATCTTGCCTGCAGGTGCTCAATAAATGTGCATCAGTGGTGAACAGCTCAGCACCGTGGTCTGAGAGCTGAGGAGTGAGTCGGGCAGCTGGGGATGTCAGAAAGGTGTTCCGGGTTCCGAGGGGCCACCCGAGGGTGTTGAGGGCTCCCTGTGTYCTGAGGCCAGGGGCCCACTGGAGAYCTCCTACGGAGSTGTGACAGGAAACAAGCCACACGTTRCCGAGGAGCACGGCCGGTGTTGCGCTTGGAGACGGGGAGGACAGGGAGGGCAGGACCTCGTCTCCTGACCACACTCCAGCAGCACCTTTATCACATGCCCCCGTGTCCATGAGTCCCCAGCCTGGGGTCTTTGGCAGCGGACCCCACTGGGCATTCTGACCGACTGCTTCCTTGGGCCTGTCGGTCACCCGTGGAAGGAGCGTGATGGCTTCAGCACTTGCCCCAGAACATGGTTTCAAACACGTACCAGGCGTTTCCCCAGGGCTCCTGGGACTGGTCCAAGGACTGACCACCCCTGAACTCATACACAAAACYGAGGCCTAGGATATTTCAGGGAGAAGGTTTCTGCCTTTGGGTGGACTCTAAGGAGAGATGAAGAACCAGTGGCCCGCAGTGGCCACRTGTGCTGTGGAGGGTCACAACAGTAAGATCACCTAACAAAACCACAGCATCCGTGGCAACTGCCACAAATACGGGCTATCCACTCCYGGGCGTTTCTCTGGGCTCCGTGTGGTGCACTCGTTCTTCAGTGAGTCTGAGGCAGGGCGGAGACCGCCCTCTCCTGTGTACACAGCAGGCCAGGTGTAGAGACCCAGCTCAGACCCTGACCAATGACTTTTAACAAATGTCCCCGGGTCCCTCTCGACTGCCAGGCTCTGAGGCCAGCTGGGAGGCAGTGTGCAGGATTTGGGGTCCTGCTCCTCCCAAACCTGCTGCTGGGCAGGGTTTGCTGGCCAGGTCTGGAGCCCGAGGTCTGGAGCCCAGCTGTCCCCCGCCACTGGTTCYGAGGAGGCAGAGGAGCAGGAGGGTCAGGGGGGAGAAGGGCAGGAAGAGGAAGGAACAGTGAGGGAGAGGCGCTGGACAGGCATGTCTGCAGGACCTGMGGGGCAGAGAGGGTCAGGCTGAGGGAGAGCAGCAGGGCAGGGAGCCAGGAGGGGGAGCAGGCAGAGGCAGGAGAAGGGGCAGGTGGAGAGGAGAGACCAGGGAGGGAGGGAAGGCGGGGGCAGATGAAAGGGCCCGTAGAGGACTGAGGGGCAGAGGAAGTGTGATGAGGAGAGGGCTGGGAAGGTGGAGAGAGACCAGAGGAAATGCCGGAGGAGGAGGAGGCAAGGAGGGGCGGCCAGTGCTCTGACCCACCTGCAACCCCACCCAGCAGATGGACAAGGGCCCTCACGACGTGATCTTGGGGTTCACAGGCTCCAAGCACAACCTGGACCTCGGGTCAGAATGCTTGGCCTCAGCCGGGCGGTGCATGAACCACCCCACAGGTGTGGCTGACCTTAGGGTCCACCGACTGTGGACAGGGCAGTGGGCCTCACACATCCCTGCTGCCGGCAGCTCCCACAGGAAGCCAAAGGCAAGTGGTGAGCAGTTAAAGCCCCAGGGTCTTCTGAGGGCTTAGATGGAGCTGGGGAAGTAGGAGGGGCAGGAGAGGAGGAGGGGGAGCAAGCAAGAGAATAGGGAGTGACAGCTGGGGAGAGAGAGGCAGGCAGGGATGAAGGGGAGGTAGGCAAGGTAGAGAGGGAGTGGAGGGGGAAGGAGGGAGGGGGAGAGGTGGGAGAGGGAGGGGGAGGGAAGGGGAGGGGGAGGGGGAGGAGGGAGAGGGAAGGGGAGGGAGAGATGCAGGAGGGAGAGGTGGGAGAGGGAGAGGAATGGGGAGGGAGTGGGAGAAGTGGGAGAGGGAGAGGGAGGGGGAGGAGGGAGAGGGAGGGGAGGAGGGAGAGGGAGAGGTGGAGGAGGGAGAGGGAGAGGTGAAGGAGGGAGAGGGAGGGGGAGGAGGGAAAGGGAAGGGGAGGAAGAGATGCAGGATGGAGAGTCGCAGGAGGGAGAGGTGGTGGAGGGAGGCACAGGGAGGTGGAGGAGACAGCTGTGGAGGGCAGGGGGAAGTGGGAGAGGGGGAGGGAAGTGGGGGGAAGGAGAGGGACCTGGGGGAGGGAGGGGGAGGACACAGGCAGTGGAGAGCAGTAAGAGGGAAGGACCCCAGCCCTACAGTGACGCTGGCCATCTGCTGGCAGGATGGGCCAGGCCGCAGGCAATGAGTCGGGGACCCTGGATTTCGTGCTGCTCGGGCTGTGGGCCCCGCCGGCCCTGCGGCCCTTGCTGTGGACCGCGCTGCTGCTGGCCTATCTGGCCACCGTGCTGGGCAACGGCGCGCTGGTGGGGCTGATCGYGCTGGACCGGCGGCTGCACAGGCCCATGTACCTCCTGTTGTCCCACCTGGCGCTGCTGGACGCGGCCTATGTGAGCACCACGCTGCCCCAGGCGCTGGCGCACATGGCCTCGCGCCGCGCCCGCCTCTCCCTGGCACGCTGCGGGGCGCAGCTCTACGTGGGCATCTCCCTGGGCAGCTGCGAGGCGCTGCTCCTGGCCGCCATGGCCCTGGACCGCAGCTTGGCGGTGTGTAGGCCCCTGCACTACACCACGCTGGTGACCCCTCTGCGCTGCGCGGCGCTGGCTGGCGCCGCCTGGACGCTGGGCTTCGCGCTGTCGGTGCCCAACGCCGCGGCCGCGCTGCGCCTGCCCTTTTGCGCTGGGAGGCCGGCCGTGGACCACTTCTTCTGCGAGCTGCCCGCGGTGCTGCGGACGGCGTGTGCAGACACCACTGCCAACCACAGGCTCATCTACGGCCTGGGCGTGCCCATCCTCCTGGTGCCCCTGACCTTCATCCTCGCCTCCTACGCCTCGATTCTGGCCGCAGTGGGCAAGTTGCCTTCCGCCAGGAGCCGCCTCAAGGCCCTGTCCACCTGCAGCTCACACCTGGCGGTAGTGGGGCTCTTCTACGGCACGGTGAGCGCCATGTACCTGCGCCCGCGCGCCTCCAGTGCCCTCCCGGCCAGGCAGCACAAGCTGGTGGCCGTTTTCTACCTTGTGGTCACGCCCGTCCTGAACCCRCTCATCTACAGCCTTCGGAACCGCGAGGTCCACGCAGCAGCCCGCTCTGCCCTGGCCCGGCTGCGGGGCGTCCGCGCTGCTCGGCGCTGACAGCCAGGCTGGTGACCGGCCTCCCAGCCTCTGCCCACTCCTCGGAATTGGACCGGGCCTGGGTGTCTTCGCTTCTGTCAGCTTTGGCTGCTGCGACTTCTACCCCTTAGCTGGAGAGCAGCCGAGAGGACAGGAGCGGGCAGCTGAGTTCCAGAACCCAGAAACTTCCGTTTGTGGATACCGGAATCCGAATTTTATCTCATGTTCGTGGGTCACAAAATATTATTCTTCTGTGGATTTTTTTCAACCATTTGAAAATACAAAAATCAGTTTTAGATAGCAGAGCTGGACGTGTAAACCCTGATGGGCGGCCAAGACGGATTACTGTCAGGATTAAACAAATAAGGTGTCTCTGCTGTCCTGTTTCTCTTTTAACCTCAGTCCAGTGTCAGCTGGTCACTTTCTTGGCCACTTGGATGTAACAGGCAGCACCCTTCCCTGCCAGGGCCTTCTATAAGGGCCACATGCACAGCAGCTGGGACGCAGGCTGACCTCAGGCCGCATTGCACCTCCAGTTCCCACAGGACAGAAGGAAGGCACCTGAAATCAGGTGACACATGCAGCTGGAAGTGAGGAGCCAGGGTCAAGACTCAGGCTAGTGATCTTACCCTCATGTCGCCCCCTCTCCCGTCCCCTTTTACAGATCCCTGGAGGCAGAGAGTCGGGCATTAACAAGGCCTGGGCGTTGATGTCAGTGTGACCTGCATACAGATGGGTCACATCTGTGGGACGTATTTGTGGCTACATGGGAAACATCACTTAAGTCCCCAGCAGCTGTGTCTGCTCTGCCTCTTGTTAGTGCAGCCTGTGGCTCACGCACGCACGTGTCACACTCATGTGTCCACAGCTAGGGCAACTGTGAAACAGGCTGTGGGGGCCAGGTGGGCACCTGGTGCTCAGGACCTCGCTTCTGGCTCCCACCATCATCCTGCGCACAGAGCGCTCTCAGGAGGACAGGCAGGGCTGCGGCTGGGAGGTGGGTCAGCCTGGGCCCTGGTGTGGGGGACGCAGTGTCAGCAAGAAGAACCAGGGAGGATGCTGGCCACTCACCAGCAAGGTGCACTTTACTCTCCCCCTGCCACACACGCGGTTCTGAGGTAGAGAATATGTTTATGCTCAATTTAGAAAAGACAAAAAGCCATGGCCAATCTGGGGAGGTCTGACTGCTGAATCTTGGCGCCCACCCGCTGGAGCTGATGGTTATTATTTTTATTTTCTGCAACACAACTGCTTGAAGGGTCGTTTCTGCCACTTGTCACTGAAGCACAGCGGTCCTCCAGGTAGGAGCACCAATGGCAGGTGCAGAGCTCCAAGGTGGGCGGGAGGTGAGCGCAGCCTGTGGGACCGCCCCCAGCCCCCCAGCGCACTCCCAGCCCCCACCCCTTCCAAAGCCAGGCACCCCCTTAGCTAGCCCGCGGAGCAGATGGGACAGTCTGAGCGTCCTGAGGAAAGCGGCCACATTGAAGTCAACAGTCAGCGTCAGGAGGGGGCCGGGCTGCAGGGTGGGTGGGTCTCTGGCAGGCCACAGGTGAGGGCTGGCCCTCAGGATGGCAAAGCTGTTCCCCAAAGTGAAAAGGCAGGAAGTCCAGCAAGGGCCCAGSGAGACACTCCATCAGACATCTGCCAGACACGAATGGTCAGCGCTGCGCTCCGGTGGGAGCTGGCTGGCAGTGACCAGCACACGAGGTTGCGGTCCTCTCTCCACGTGCCGGCCGCAGGGAGGGTGCACTCCGTGCCTGGAGAGGGCGTGAGTGAATATGGTTTGGCTCCTCAGGATACACCACACAGCACCAAGGCACACCCAGGAGACAGGGAAGCGCAGCGCGCACAGAGCCGTGGGAGTGTCCACACCAGCACTGCCCTCACAGCCAGAGGGAGCAGCTCCAACGTCAAAGCCAGCACTCAACTCCAAGTCACGTGAATCGTGTCTCAAATAGGCTGTTAACCCAAGCAACAGTACCTGGTGTCCATGTCACCCACACCAGCCACTGTCCCCAGCACTGGTGAGTGACTAACTCACGGAATCCATTCAGTGACCCTGTGAAGTCTGTCCTGTTTGAATCCTGTTTTACAGGAGGGTAAATGGAGGCACAGAGAGATGAAGTCACTTGGCCAGGGTCACACAGCAGAAAGGGGTGAAACCAGGTCCAGAAGCACGTGGACTTGCTCCAAAGGTGGCCCTCCCACCCACTGTGCTCCACCACCACAGGTGGCCCTGCCCTGGCACCAGGGCTGCTTTGGTCTCACCCAGTAGGAGGTCTACAGCGGCCTTCCCTTTATTCAGTCACCAGCTGAAGTGGAGTGGATTCCTGTCTATATACCCAGGTTGTGGACTGCTCCCCATGTGTCCCAGGCATGGCCAGGGGTTGCTGGGGTGTAGGGAGCCTGTGGAAAGACGGGGGAGGCCCGAGGGTGGGGGTGGGCAGGGCTGATCAGGGGCCTCCAGCACCAGGGGGGGACGTGGGGATCTCTCACTGGGAGATGGGCGCAGACACCCAGCAGGAGGCCAGGTGGGACTGGGAGGGGAGACCCTGGAAAAAGGAATGTGCCGAGGACCACGCCTCAGGGCTGCAGAGGCTCCACACTCTGCCTCCACACGGGCACAGAGGTGCCGGGTTGGTAATGAGCAAAATCCTCTGGGGGGCAAATCCCCAGGGCTCTCATCTGTGTCCAGAGCCAAAGACTGAAATCTCTGGTTCCTGGGGTCCCGGGAGTTCCTGGATCAGCAGGGAGGCTGGGGCTCTGTCCTTGGCACCAGACAGACGGAGCAGCAGGGGTCCCGGGGTCCCGGGAGTTCCTGGATCAGTGGGGAGGCTGGGCTCTGTCCTCAGCACCAGACAGACTGAGCAGCAGAGGTAAGCGGGCTGTCCGTGAAGGGGCAGGGAGACAGGCTGTGGGGGAACAGAGCCTGGGGCTCCCTCTGAGTGTGGTGCTGGGACAGCTGTCCCTGGACACGCTGGTGCCTTGTAGCAGGGAGTCACGCTGGGGTCACTCTTTGACTCTGCCCAGTTTTATAGACAGCAGTGGAATCAACCTTCGTAGTTTTTAATTTTGCTGCTAAAAAGGCAAATGCATTTTCTTAACACAACTTAAAAGGGACAAGTGTAAAATTTCTGCTTGACTATTACCACCAGTGACAGTCCTCCCCTTTGTCCCCTCCCTCCTTGGTTTGGGGAATACTCTTCCATACATTTTCTGGGCATTTTTATAAATATATTTGGAGCTGAAGAAAAACAGCCATATAGTTTTGGGTGAGGTTTTATGTAAGTGAATGAGACCTTCCTCTTATTCACCACTTGCTTTCTGGGGGCATAATACTTTCTGAATAGCTTCCATTTAATTGAACCTAGAATGCATTCCTTTTACCCTGCAGTATGGTATTCTAGATGGCTCAACCATATTCACTTCGAGCCCTGAATAGCTCCCTCTGCACTTAGACAGCAGTGGGGCCAGTGTGAACTCCAGCCCTGATTCTAGAGGGGAGCGCAGCGGGATGCAGTCTCTGTACAGCGCGGAGGCTGCTGCGTGGGGGCACAGTACCAGGGGCAGCAGCGGGACCACTGCTCCTCACACTTCAGGCAGGAAGACGGCTCAGGGGTGGACACTGCCCGCCCCAGCATTGCAGAGCTGCCTCGGAGCCGAGTTTCCTGCCATCCTGGGCCCTGGCCGAGGGCCCTGCTGCCCCAGTTATCACCCTTCCCGTTGACCRTTGGCTGTCGGTGGCTGTCCCTCTGGTTGGTGTTTTGTGTTTCAAGCTTCAGGTGTCCCTGGCCTTGGGCAGCCACCCCCTGATGGAGGCTAAAGTCACTTTGGTTCCACCGACATTCACCAACATGATGCTGGTGGACCTGGTGCTCTGTAGGATGCTACCAGCATCTCTGTCCTTCACCTGCCAGGGGACAGTGGCACCCCTGTTGTGACAGCCAACAAATGTCACCACACATGACAAAGGTCCCCCGAGGGGCTAACTCACCCCCAGCTGAGGTCCACTTCCAGGATCAAACCCAGCACTTACAGAACGAGGTAGGACAGGTAGAGCTGGAAAGAGCAGGGACGTGGCCAGGCCCTGGCGCCTGGGGACGTGGCTTTCCTGCCCCCCATGGAGGGTCTGGTGTAGGTGGAAGGGGGGTGTGCTGACTCCTGGCATCACAGGCTTCCAGTCCTGGGACATCGCAGTGGACCACGTCCCGCAAGGCAGGGAGCAGGTTCTGCCTCACAGAGCTTCCTCGTGGGTGGGCTGCGGCGATGGCTCGTGCTGGACAGCAGGAAGGGCCTGCAACCAGACCTCACGCAGGAGCAGCGAGTAGGGAARGTGACCAGAGCAGAGCCAGGCTCAGTTCTGATATGAGATGGACAAGAGGGACCCAGAGCCAGGGCACTGAGAGGAGACTTCGGGCAGCAGGGGCATTTGGCTAAACTGACTGGGATTCTTGCTGGAGGAAGGTCAGGGAGACCAGATACCTAGGACGGAAGAGGAGCTTGATCGGATGCTGGGGGCAGTGGACAGAGGCCAAAGCCCAGGTCAAAGCCTGGGGTGGAGGGGAGCCTAACTGGTCAGCGCTGGGTGTCCTGTCCCAGATGGGCAAGCCAGAACAGTGCCCAGCCCCAGGGCTGCACCTAGTGTGCTCCTCTCTGCCTTCCACGGACATCTCGAGGCTCTGTGTGTGAGAGGGTGTCTCCTTTGTCTGGAAGAGGGACCCAACCCTGGGACACACTGTTCTACTGAGCTGTTTGTGCCGGGCACTCTTCTGCCAGACCAGGCACAGCAGCCCTCTGGTCCTTGTGCTCTACGAGGGGCAGGCAGACTGGCCAGGAGCAAGTGAACAAAGCAACTTCAGGGTTTTTAAAAACACCCAGATGGTTCCCTGGGAGTGGCCTGTGTGCTGGGGAGTTGCTTCAGTAGGGTCACTGGGAAAGGACTCCGAGGAGGAGGACATCTTAGTGGACAAGGGCAGGAAGAGAAGGAAACAGGGACAATGATGCAAACACATGGGGAGAGCATCTCAGGGCATGGGAAGCAGGTACCAAGGCCGGGGTGAGAAGGAAAAGGTGACCGSGGAAGAGGTCTTCACAATGGCGCTGGGCTAGCACAAGTGTGGGAGAGACGGTGTGCAGAGGTGGCCGAGAGCTAGTCCACACAGGGCCTGTAAGAGGGGGACCAGGATACAAGCCCCCGGGGAAAGAGCCTGTGTGGGGAGAGAAAGGCAGAGGCCCTGAGGTGGGGCCTGAGCTCCCGGACCAGAGTCCAGAAAAGCAGACAGGGCCAGGCCAGCTCGTAGGACCTCTGACTTCCTCCCTGGCTCCTGCGCACCACGGGTCTGATTTGCCCTGGGCCGAGACCCCGGGGGCTCTGCGCCCAGGACGCATGCGCACAGGCGTGGCCTCACGGGCACCTTCTCCATCCTCTCCCCTCCCAGGCTTCCTC